AGGGAAGTGAGCTCAGACTAGACAAATTGAAGGAGATTTTAGCTAACATCCACTTCAAAATGACCACATTTGCCATCTCTGAGACCTAAGCAAAATGTGCACGTCCAATTCCCGTGTATAAGAAATCACTTCAATTGCAGTGCAGCAGACAGGTTTAATGTGCTCAAATGCCACTTTTCCTCAAGCTACTAAGCAACTCTTTCCCAGCTTCATTATAAACAATCTCATATTTAGCAGCCTTGATGAAAGACCTTTAYGCTTACATTGAAGGGTTGACAATGTGTCTGAACTGTTATACAGTCACAGGTACAATAAAAGAAGTTAAATTTTGCAACCTGCTGTTCAAGGTTAAGAGYTGAAATGAGTTCAGTAAACCTTCAAGATGTGATTAAAATGAAGTAAAAACTTATTAAAAAAACTTGAAGGGAAAATGCCATAATCTTCAAGTTGTACATACCAGAGAAAAAGAGACACAAGTTCTGTTTCTGCACCTACTGTACAAAATAGAGGAAATTGAGAAATTTTAATAAAGATGAGTAGTTGGCAAGCCAGAYTCTGGTTGTTGTCTTTGGCTTCATTTTACACATCTACATAGTCGTCAAAATCAAAGAATTTATATGTTTTGCTCAGAAAAAGTAGCAGAAAAYGACAGAACACACCACAGGAATAAATCCTAAGCGAAAAAAAAAAAAAAATTTGCTGCACATGAAAACCTACGAGGATTTCTTGCATAATACCAGCTCATTGTGATAAATTCAATCTCCCCTTGGGAAAAATCACATCAAATATCAGCCTATTTCATTAACTTCATAGATGAACATCAKTCACCTCACAGAGGTCAAAAGAAGAGGTACCATTCCCACCATGGTCCCCATAGTTCTGTATTATTTGTATATTATATATAAGTATGTTATTAATAATAATAATATAGTAGTAAGTATAATTAGAATAAAATGAAATATTCTTTATAATTATCATTAATAACAGAATGAAGTGATTTGAGTAATCTTCAGTCTTAAAAGAAATCATGGAACAATTCCCATCACCAGGTTCTTCAGCCCACTTGGGGATGCCAGAAATATGGATCAATACTTTTGGAAGGACAATTAAGGCTTATTTCAAGACAGAATTAATACAGACTATTTAGCAAGTATTTATTATATGGTAGCAAAACAGAAATATGATCCTGTTCCCCTATAAAGGTAGTCATATAATAGAGCCAGGATTTGAAACACTTGGAAAATTCTCTTTCACCACTAAAAGGATTTCCTTAGGACTAGTAAGTGTATAGATTGGCCATATTCTTTATCTCTCTCCATACATATTGATATATATAAATAATAAGTCTATTTTAAATTCCTCCTCAGTTTCTGCTTTACTTTGGGAGCAGAATGAGCTCTCYTAAGAGCACACGTTTCTGGAATTCAGATACTGAAATTTCATTTGAGCTGCAAATTCAAAGGATTCCGATATTGGTGACACTGAATCAGCTCTTCTGGTTTTTCTGGTGAGAAAATCAGAYAAAACCAGGGCTGTTTGCAATTTCCTCTGCTTATGCAGAAGGCTCAGCCATACTTCAACAGTATGGATCTACATGCCTATTCAATTTGGACAGAAAGCCGCAGTTCCAAATCAAACTGAACGCCAAGAACTGAGATATAGTTTTCCCTGATTTTCAAATTTCTCATAAATCTCCATGCAACTTCACAGTACTGACAGTCCCTGTGACAAGTTCAAATATGTTCCTTATGTGAAAAACTCATAATTGTGGGACAGTAATTCAAAGGCATTTTTATCTCTTCAGTTAATGTAATTAGGCCATTGAAAAACAAGAGCTCTGCAGCTTTTTACTTATGCCACACACTGTTTTATCACCCAATTATGGGYGCAGTAATTGTCTTTGACACTGTCCAACAGCAATAAAAAGCATTCCTGCCACAAACTACGCACAATCCTGAGCAAACCCAGGAGGAAAGAGATGCTACAACGACTCAGAGTTCAAGGGCAGGGGGGCAGAACCCTTGTTTTGTGTGATTGTGGGAATTTGCTGCAACCTTGACCATTTTATAGCTGTATTTTCATTTCAAGATACGTAGTGAAGAGCTTTCTTAACAGAGTTAAGAGAAAGACCTCTGCCTGCCCATCCAAGTCCTGGTGTTTCAAGGGACACAAAAGAGAAGCTTTCCTTCCACCAGATGCAGCACAATGACACAGAGACGCGCTCCTTTATCAATATTAACCATAAACTGCTATTACTGGCTTTTCAAAGAGCACTCCCCCCTTCTGAGCCTTCTAAGTGGATTTGAAGCCGGAAGCAGCTAATTGACTTGGAACGAGGAGTTATCAGAACCCTTTTAATTTGCTCAAAGCAAGAGTTCAAATTCTAAACCTAATGCACACAGAAAATACGTGCGAGGCGGGTCACTGGAGCGTGATGAGGATGCTCTTGCACTGGGGCCATGAAGGCATTTCACCAGCACTGAGGTGCTACAGCACCAGAGCAGGATCACCGTGAATGCTCTTTGCAACGAGCACCTTCAAACCCTCCTTCAGAGTCCTCCAGTGCTCCCAGCCCATCRGAAGGAATTGGGAGTGCAACCCAGTAAAAGCCAAGCTATTTTGATATGGATGTGTAGAACAACGTCATGCCATAAAGCACAAAAAATTAAAGAGAAATTGGATTACTAGCAAATCCGCACTAACAGATGGCACGTACGCACACAGGAGCATCACTTGCTGCACCCACAGGGCTCGKTTTTGAGCACCCACCTCCCAAAACYRCACATWTCCCCCAGCATGTCTTTTCCCAAAGCAGCACTTTGCCTTTCCAACTGCATTTTTTTGGCAGGGCAGCCCCTCCAACTCTTACTGCAAGCAGCTGTTTACACACTTACTGGCAGAAAAATAAGGATAGGTTTTCTCTTTACTCTCTCATGCAGCGCTTCGCCTTCACAACCTGCCCAAAATACCTTCCAGCTTGTTATTTATTATGGCTTTTATTTTCTAAGGGCAGCATTAGAAATACTTCAGCCAGAGACACACTCAGCTTCTCCACCCTCTCTGATAAGCAGGTAGATCCGAAAACAAAAGGACTTATAGATTTTTCCTTCTCACAGGGATGTTTTTCTTTGAAGTGCACTTTGTGCATAAATTCAACCTTTTCTTATCACCGTAAGACATCAGTAACAGAAGCATTTACCCTACACCCACTGCGTTTTAAAAGCTCCTTTTAAAAACCTGCTACGAGTAATACCACAAGACAGCATCAGTATAGGAGTCTGTTTTCTGGCTGCAGAGGTGTGTCAAGATTTAAAATTGAAACATTTAAAAGAAAAACCTGCACAGTTCTGAGCTGCAAAAAATCCTGCTGGACCTTGCAGGGGAGCTGACCAGATGAGTGCAGGGTGTTACCTTGTCAGGAATGCCCTGTGCACACAAATGAAAGCTTCATCCCTCCTCCCCATAGGTGGGG